AGGGAAGCTTTTTAGTTATCTTGCTTTGCTAGCAAAGTCATTAGCTAGCAGCTAGCTCATAGCACAAGAACAACAGCCTAAAAATACTGAATCGATAGATAAGAACAGCTTTTCCTCACCTGGCTGTCTCCTCCCGCTCAGTAGTTCTTCAGAGAAAGAAATACTTTCCTCCGTTTAAACCGCTACTCTTTGCTAAAGTAGAGAAATTATACAACGTTCAAAGTTTTCCGTTGTCTGACAAGTAGGAAGCCTACTCCAGTATTTTCACCAAAAATTATGTTTTTTAATTCACAAAAAAACTGTTCTGTAATCATGACAGAACAGTTTTTTGTGAATTAAAAAACACAATTTTCAATGTAAAAGACTAAAAGCACAGAGTAATCAGTGTTTTAGATCAAACAATACTGCATCATGCATGGGGCTCATTTGGTTTCACTTACATGTCTATTCGGGTTGACATTGGAGAGGCGGTGCAGACTGAAGACATAGCCATCCGTCCGATCATGGTTGATCTTGCTTAGGGCCAAATGAGCAGCGGCCACAGTGTAATGTGGAATATTCGCTACCTTTAGCTCCGCAGTTAGCCGCCTTATCTGACTGTGCGAGAGGCAAGTGCGTCGTCACCGGCAAAAGGTCAAAGGTAACAATGTGATCGGAGGGCTTATTGTATTTTTTTTCTTGCCAAAAAAAAAGATAATAATAATAATTTCAGTACATGTGTCAAAAAAAAAAAAAAAAATAAAAAATAAAAAAGGGACCAAAAGGGCACATTGGGATCATGGAGCAAAAGAGGCAGGTGCTCAAGCCCCCTTAGCCCCCCCCTCTGCACGTGCCTGCTGCAGTCCACTCTTTGTGAATCTCCCCCACATTTTTGAATGGGTTTTGTTTCACAATCCTCTCCAGGGTGCGGTTATCTCTCTTGCTTGTACACTTTTTTCGACCACATCTTTTCCTTCCCTTCGCCTCTCTATTAATGTGCTTGGACACTGAGCTCTGTGAACAGCCAGCCTCTTTAGCGATGACCTTTTGTGTCTTGCCCTCCTTGTGCAAGGTGTCGATGGTCGTCTTTTGGACAACTGTCAAGTCAGCAGTCTTCCCCATGATTGTGTAGCCTATAGAACTAGACTGAAAGACCATTTAAAGGCTTTTGCAGGTGGTTTGAGTTAATTAGCTGATTAGAGTGTGGCACCAGGGGCCATCAATTTTGAACCTTTTCACAATATTCTAATTTTCTGATATGATGAATTTGAGATTTTCATTTGTTGTCATTTGTAATCATCAAAATTAAACAAAATAAACATCTGAAATATATGAGTTTGTATGTAATGTATGAATATAATATACAAGTTTCACTTTTTAAATGGAATTACTGAAATCAATCTACTTTTTCATGATATTCTAATTTTATGACCAGCACCTGTAAACAGGACAATGCATCTGAAACTGAATTAAACATTGCTAATATTACCTTGTTTTTTTTTACTGTATGTTATTCAATTCAACATTTAAACAAATAAACTTAAAAAAAAAAAAACAAGTTCAAATGATTTCAAATCCATAAAGAACAGATGGAGGAATGTTCATTTAGTGTCATGGACAAAAAGAAAGAAAAGCTAAGAATTTCAAATTCATTAAAAGACTTTGCACACATTTCCATAAGGAGGCGTCGGGACGCCAAGTGGAGGGTAGTGAGATGGTTTTCACAATCGTTGTGATGTGATCCCTGAGGTACATGGAGGGCAAAATGTATCAGGAATACTAAAAATGTGAACGTCATATTGAATGAATAAATGTCCTGTTTAATAATTAAGAATCTGTTTATATGATGAAGTAAAAATTTAAATGTCATCAGAAAAATAGATTTATATACAATGAATGTAATTATTTTGAAAATCATTATTATATTTTAGTATAATTCATTATTATTAAGTGAATTATTATATATTCACTTAATATGTATAAAATAATATAGAGTTCAATAATTATATGTTTTTAAGTAGATCATCAGTACTGAAGACAATCTCTTTTAAACTGCGTTCTCTGATCTTAAGAGAACATTGTTAAATATAGAGTTTTTAAGGAAACATAAACAGGAATAATATCAGGCCCCAAAAGATCCACAAAGCCAAACTGATCATAAGGTTGTCCCCTTGAGGTCCCTCTGTCTCAATCATTTTTAAATCGTTAACATTAACGACTGATGTATACTTAGAAGGCACTAAAGAATATTTATCAAAATAAATTTAAGATCGCTTTCATCTAGTCTGGAAATAAAACCAATGGAACCCTAGATATATAAACTCTTCTTGAGGACCAAGACAGTTGCACTTTTAAAGTCACCATAAAACAGTTAACTCTACATTGCATCATTTTCTACGTTAAATACGACATTGTCCATAACATTTCAGTTGAATTGAGTTTTTAAGTGTAGTAGGCGAAACTGTGAGAGAAAAGAGATTACATTGCAAATTAAGCAGAAATCTGATCTGTGATTTTACAGTTTCCCAGTAAAACACATGACACATGCAGGCAGGCAGTAAAAAAAAGAGTCATGCTTACCAATGAAGATAACTCCAGGAGTACCCTCTGGGGAAAAAATCTAAATAAGTCATTTTTTCTTAATACGAGTGCATTTGTACTTGAATTGAGCAGGTAAGTGAGGCACTTTGCTAATGGACAATACAATTTACATTTCAAATAGCAAAAAAAAAAACAATTGCATTGTCTTATTACACGTGCATATTATCTATTTATCTTATTTTAAGAGTAAAAATGTTCATTCCAGTGGAAAATCATCTTATTTACCTGCTTAAATTAAGAGTAAATTCAATTAATTTAAGAAATGTTGACTTATTTCTAGATTGTTTTTGTGGTGATGGATGATGGTTTGTGTTGAATCTAAGCATCCATTTGCGAAAAAACTTGTCTGAGATGTGTTCCCAAACATCTAAACTAAAGCCTTATCCACCAACACACCTGCTTCTTGTGGGAGTGGTGGACTAGTGGTTAGAGCAATTTGCTCGTGCTCTGAGAAGGTTGCAGTTACCCAGTTTGATCCCCATAGCCGGCACTTTGGGTCCCATAGCAAGACCCTTAACCCCATACAGCTCCCTGGGCGCCGCACAGTGGCAGCCCACTGCTCCCCAAGCGGATGGGTTAAATGCAGAGGTAATTTTTTTCCCAATGTGAGATGAATACAGTTCAATTATTATTTTTATTACAGTGAGGATAACGAAGAACCATTAGGTTGGACAGCCAGATAAATAGTATGCACATCAAATAAACATATGGCTACTTCTCAATAGAAAATTGGAAAAACAGGCAAAACAAAGTAAAAATTATACTCAAGCCTTCGATGTCTCTGTATATAGAAAGACATAGACTATGTAGCTTGACTGCTGTGGCTGGAGGCCTGGTGCATGTGTCAACGTCTAGAACTTTCTACAGCACTGTATTTATGCGCTAACACTTTAAAGCCTTGACCATGAAATCATGTTGAGAAAATTCACATTTCTTTCGCATTAGAGTTGTCATTGATCCTTCTGACAAAAAAAGCTTAAATCTTGTATAAAGTAAATTAGATGTTTTATATACATCATTTGTGATACACTATAGGCATGTCTATATAATCTTTTACCGATTTTCTGTTTATTACGTGTGTATGATTGTGTAAGTCAGAGTTTTCAAGAACAAAAATATCATTCTGATTATGCAGAGGTCTCACAAGTAAGATACACTTGGTTTTAAAAGCCTTTATATATAAAATAAATATATATCTGAATAGAAACGTCAGTGATTTTATTACTTGGTTGCCATATGGCTGAAAAGATACTGGGGTTTAATGGCAGTTTTATAGTTATATATATATATATATATATATATATATATATATATATATATATATATATATATATATATATATATATATATATATATAGATAGATATATAGATAGATAGATAGATAGATAGATAGATAGATAGATAGATAGATAGATAGATAGATAGATAGATAGATAGACATTTTGAATAATAAAATTTGATTGTTTTAGATTGTTTTATTCTTCATATGACAGCCTACTGTATTTTCATACTAGTTTTAGTCTTTGACATATGTATATAAGGCCTACTCATCAAAACACACAAAATATTATCACCTTTAAGCAAGACGTTTGCACCCTCCGGCTGATAAATAAAACAGACAGATGGCAGCAACACACATGCTTTCACTCAGATATAATAGTAAAGTGTGGCTGCGTTGGGTTGAATAACTGAACAGATGAATCATCCAATCAGTAACTATATCCAACAAGGATAAGTTTTAAAATTCAAAGTTAATATTTTTCTATGAGGTTTGACTGCTGTATTTTCTTATTTAAAATTAGTTTAATTCAGCTGTGAGGATGGAGAGAAAGAGAGGAAAATAGAATAAAGTCTGACAGACGAAGGTGACAGGTTGGTTTAATATCAGGTTAGAGTTTAACAGCTACTTAAATACCAAGTTATCTTTTTTTTTTATCTAATCATAGAAAAGGTGTGTTTTCTACTATGTTAGAAGAACACAGGCAAAGGCTGATGGAAACAGACATGAGGTTGGTGGTGGCATCTGCTAAAAAGGAGACAGTCAGAATGGTTTGTATTTCAGCTGATCACTCATTCTGTTTCCTTCTGGGAAAATTATTGCACGTAGACATGGAAAGTTGATCCCAAAAGAGGAAAAAATGGGGCGGCAGATCAAAGAGGGGGACAGGTAGTGAGTGTGAACAGAAATTATATAAGTCTTGAATTTTATTAGTTGAATTAGTGAATTTAATTGGGGAAGTTTTCCACTTTTCCACATTTATGTAAACATGTGTCTGCAATTAATTTGTGTAGAAATTATGGTCAGTGTGCCCTGTCATCTTCCATGTGCCTCCCACGTGTCTCAGCCTCCCTCTGCTGTCTCCTTCCTCCTCCTCTTCCTCCTCCCTTTAAATATCTGAGCCCAGAGGAGGCGCAGCAGGACCCAGCTACTGTTTGACACTGGGTTACTGGAAAGTGCGCACATAGAGAGGATGAGGACTCTGCTTTTGCTGCTGCCGCTGCTGCTCTGTCCCCCCGCCGGGGGGGCTCAGCGGCCCCCCGAGGCTGTCAGAGAGTACTTCATAGCAGCAGTAGAGATTGGTTGGGACTACATCCACCTGGCAGATGGGGACCGTGCACCGGGTCAAAGGTAAACATATCCCACTGCAACTCAGACCTTGATGCTTTATTAAACTTGCTGTCAGTCTCATAAACAGAGTTAGCCTTTAGAAATATTTTTTTTCTGCTACTTTCTGATCATATTTTTTTCAGAGGGGGATTTAAAGCTATTACTCAAAAATACATCAAGGCAGTCTACAGGGAGTACACAAATGCTACATTCACTATCCCCAGACCGAGACCAGCCTGGACAGGTAGGTGCATATATAATTTCATTTTTTCTAGATCATATTCTCATATTTAATTCATATTTGCTTTATGGTTGTATTGTATTTGTCAGCCACATTGTAAATAAATAAATGAATAAACAGGCAATTAATAGATGGGAGAGTGAATAATATGGTGGCAGCTGTAGGACAATTATCCTCAGGTGTACAGCAGGTGTAGCCAGCGCTGCAGGTCCGGCTCCGCTGCGCTGTAAACACGCAGCCCGTGTGAACCTTCAGGCTCCGGCAGGCGATGAACGGACAGCAGAACTCCACCTGGTTCTATTTTTGCCTGAGCCAGGCTGATTAAACAGAAGTCACGTCGCTCTACACTCTATAAAGAAAATTCTGCTCCAACTTAAATGAGTTGTTTCAATTGGTAATAAGTAATAGAAGTAAGTTTGCCCAACTTAATATATTTGAGTTTTATGCTGATGAAGGTTTTCAGTCATCCAGGTTTTTACGGAATATTTAAGTTTTCAACTTATAAACCTAATAAGTCAAGATAAGTTAAGATTCAATTACCAATTGGAGCAATTAATTTAAGTTGGATTTAAGTTAGTATTTTCTTTTTAATGTGAGATAGAAGAGGCGCAGAGGCGGAGACCTCGGCGACCTGATCCGCGGGCGCTTGAACTAGCTCTGGGGACGTGGAATGTCACCTCACTGGGGGGGAAGGAGCCCGAGCTTGTGCGGGAGGTGGAGCGATACCAGCTAGAAATAGTTGGGCTCTCCTCTACGCACAGCCAGGGCTCTGGAACCCAGCTCCTTGAGAGAGGCTGGACTCTCTTCTACTCTGGAGTTACCCGCGAGGAGAGGCGGAGGGCGGGGGTGGGGCTGCTTGTCTCCCCCCAGCTCAGCCGTCTCGTGTTGGAGTTCACCCCGGTAGACGAGAGGGTCGCCTCCCTTCGCCTTCGGGTTGGAGGGAGGACTCTGACAGTTGTTTCGGCCTATGGGCCGAACGGCAGTACGGAGTACCAGGCCTTCTTAGCATCCCTGGGGAGGGTGTTAGAAAGCGCCCCTCCCGGGGATTCCATCATTCTGCTGGGAGACTTCAACGCCCACGTGGGAAACGACAGTGACACCTGGAGGGGCGTGATCGGGAGGAACGGGCCCCCAGCTCTGAACCCGAGTGGTGTCTCATTATTGGACTTCTGTGCAAGTCACGGATTGTCCATAATGAACACCATGTTCAGGCATAAGGATGTCCATCGGTGCACTTGGCACCAGGACACCCTAGGCCGAAGGTCGATGATCGACTTTGTAGTCGTATCTTCTGATCTTCGGCCGCATGTCTTGGACACTCGGGTGAAGAGAGGGGCGGAGCTGTCCACCGACCACCACCTGGTGGTGAGTTGGATACGCTGGAAGAGGAGGAAGCCTGAAAGACTCGGCAGGCCCAAACGTGTAGTGAGGGTCTGCTGGGAACGTCTGGTGGAGCCCTCGGTCAGAGACGTGTTCAACTCCCACCTCCGGGAGAGCTTCTCTCAGGTTCCGAGGGAGGTTGGAGACATGGAGTCCGAATGGGCTGTGTTCTCTGCCTCTATTGTTGATGCGGCTGCCCGTAGCTGTGGCCGTAAGGTTTGCGGTGCCTGTCGTGGTGGCAATCCCCGAACCCGGTGGTGGACACCGATAGTAAGGGATGCCGTCAAGCTGAAGAAGGAGTCCTATCAAGCCTGGCTGGCTTGTGGGACTTCTGAAGCAGCAAGCAGGTACCGTGAGGCCAAGCGTGTCGCGGCCCGGGCGGTTGCAGAGGCAAAATCTCGGGCCTGGGAGGAGTTTGGAGAGGCCATGGAAAAAGACTATCGGTTGGCCTCAAAGCGATTCTGGCAAACCGTCCGGCGCCTCCGGAGGGGAAAGCAGTGCTTCACTAACACTGTTTTTAGTGGGTGTGGGGAGCTGCTGACCTTGAAGGAGGATATTGTCGGGCGGTGGAAGGAATACTTTGAGGATCTCCTCAACCCGACAGACATGCCTTCCGTGGGGGAAGAAGAGACGAGGTGCTTGGGGCTGGGTTCGTCCATCACCCAGGCTGAAGTCACCGAGGTAGTCAAAAAACTCCACGGTGGCAAGGCTTCGGGGGTGGACGAGATCCGACCTGAGTATCTCAGAGCTCTGGATGTTGTCGGGCTGTCATGGTTGACACGTCTCTTCAACATCGCGTGGAGGTCGGGGACAGTTCCCCTGGATTGGCAGACTGGGGTGGTGGTTCCCCTCCACAAGAAGGGGGACCGGAGGGTGTGTTCCAACTATCGGGGAATCACACTTCTCAGCCTCCCCGGAAAGGCCTATGCCAGGGTGCTGGAGAGGAGAGTCCGGCTGATTGTCGAACCTCGGCTGCAGGAGGAGCAGTGTGGTTTTCGTCCTGGCCGTGGAACGGTGGACCAGCTCTACACCCTCTGTAGGGTGCTTGAGGGTTCATGGGAGTTTGCCCAACCAGTCCACATGTGTTTTGTGGACTTGGAGAAGGCATTCGACCGTGTCCCTCGTGCTGCCCTGTGGGGGGTGCTCCAGGAGTATGGAGTCAGGGGCCCTTTATTAGGGGCCATCCGTTCTCTGTACAAGCGGAGCAGGAGTCTGGTTCGCATTGCCGGCATTAAGTCGGACCTGTTCCCGGTGCATGTTGGACTCCGACAGGGCTGCCCTCTGTCACCGGTCCTGTTCATAACTTTTATGGACAGGATTTCTAGGTGCAGCCAAGGACCGGAGGGGGTCTGGTTTGGGGAACAGCGGATCTCGTCCCTGCTTTTTGCGGATGACGTAGTTCTGCTGGCTCCCTCCTGCCAAGACCTACAGCGTGCGCTGGGGCGGTTCGCAGCCGAGTGTGAAGCGGCCGGGATGAGAATCAGCTCCTCCAAATCCGAGGCCATGGTTCTCGACCGGAAAAAGGTGGCTTGTCCCCTTCGGGTTGGAGGGGAGTCCTTGCCTCAAGTGGAGGAGTTCAAGTATCTTGGAGTCCTGTTCACGAGTGAGGGAAGAATGGAGCGGGAGATCGATAGACGGATCGGTGCGGCTGCTGCAATAATGCGGACGCTGCACCGGTCTGTCCTGGTGAAGAGAGAGCTGAGCGAAAAGGCAAAGCTCTCAATTTACCGGTCGGTCTACGTTCCTACCCTCACCTATGGTCATGAAATTTGGATCATGACCGAAAGAACGAGATCCCGGATACAAGCGGCTGAAATGAGCTTTCTCCGCAGGGTGGCTGGGCTCTCCCTTAGAGATAGGGTGAGGAGCTCGGTCATTCGGGAGAGGCTCAGTGTAGAGCCGGTTCTCCTCCACATCGAGAGGAGTCAGTTGAGGTGGCTCGGACATCTTCTTCGGATGCCCCCTGGACGCCTCCCTCGGGAGGTGTTCCAGGCATGTCCCACCGGGAGGAGGCCCAGGGGACGACCCAGGACACGCTGGAGAGACTATGTCTCTCGGCTGGCCTGGGAGCGCCTAGGGCTTCCCCCAACAGAGCTGGAGGAGGTGTCTGCGGAGAGGGAAGTCTGGGAGTCTCTGCTTAGCCTGCTGCCCCCGCGACCCGGTTCCGGATAAAGCGGGAGACGACGAGTACGAGTACGAGTACGAGTACGAGTACGAGAATTGAACATCCACAGCATTAAGAACTGGCTATATTGATAAATTTACTATTCACAATTACACAAATTAGATTAATTACTGGCCTGTATATATTAAAATAGGTAACCACACTATTAGGATGGAACATTAAATGTGGCAATTCATGAAATGATTACAGCTTCTCTCTGCGCAGTGTAAATTAGAGGTAATATCAGTGGTGTGATATGTTGATATAAGGACAGTTTGAAAAATATATATATATCTACAATATAGGTATTAAAAAAACAGTTATAGGTCTGTTGTTAAGGTGGGTTCAAAAAAAGTCATTTCAAAGAGACAAAAAAAAAAGCTTTTTAATATAGAACAGTTTAAATCACTGCATTAAAATTGGACTTCAGGTATAAAAAGTCATTCCATAATAAAAAAAAGTATTTAAAGTAAACATAAGTCAATAAAATAATTGTTTCATCCATTCCAAGACGTGGCCCAGTCCCCCATCCTCCCCCTCCTCCATAGGCACATTTCCAAATAAATAATATTGCAAACTTGAATCTGTTTGAAAAAAAAAAAAATAAATAAATAAATAAAATAAAAAATCCATCACATGTTTAAGGAATTTTTTTAATTGCAGGTATTCAGGGCCCGGTGATCGTGGCCCAGGCTGGTGAAAGAGTGGTGGTCCACTTCAAGAACCTGGCATCTCAGCCTTACAGCATCAGCCCTGTGGGAATCACCTACTGGAAGCAGTCTGAAGGTGAGCAACTAAAGGCTGTGATGCCCTCAGCATTGTTTCCCAAGTGTTTTTTGACAACACACTGCTACACAGGTCAAGCAAATATTGAGCAGTATTCCTCTCTCCCTGCTCAAATAATGAGCAACAGCTTGACTCAGATCGTTGACTCATGGTAGGTCTAATTCAACTGTGCTGCTGTTCAGATGAGAAAATGGAAAAAAGTAGCTAAAAATAGCTACAAGCTGGGGTCCGCTTTTCCTGTGAGTTAATACTTGTATGTTGGATTACTTTATATTCTGAGTCACTGTAGAGCAACTGAAAAACGTTATTTTATAGTAATTTTTAGGAGTCAATGAAAAATTACCTTTAATGAGCAGAAATCTGCAGCGAAGCCTCCAATTCTTAAGAAATAACAGAGAACAACGGTCGCCATTATCTGATGTGTGCAGATCCTTTGTGGGTTCGGGGCCAAACTGCTCATCGCTCTGGCTCTTCTGAGAATCTTGCACCCACATGTGGCGGGTCATGGCTAATCCCATTTACAGGTGGTCCTGGATTAGGTTTTTATGCTGCTAAACGCCACAAACCGTCACTTGTTTCAAGCAGCTTGCAGGTTGATTCCAATTTTGATTTTACGTTACAAAGGAGTAAATAGGTTAATATTGGGGAACGGGCAGGGTTAGATGATTATGGATTGTAAAGTACGAAGATGAAGGAAGAATACTGTCTCTTCGCATCTTTTTTTAATATCAAATCATCTGATTAATGTCTTTGCTGAGTCATCGATTTGAAAATGACTTTAATTTCTCCCTCCCATTTCTACTCACTGTTTCTCTTTATCTTAAGCATTCACCAACCACTTGAACAAACAGAAAACAGATGGTATGTCCTCTTTTTTCCAGGAGCTGGTTATGATGACTCCACAGCAGGCCAGGAGAAGGAGGATGATGCAGTCCCACCCGGTGGATATTATAAGTATATCTGGGACATCAGCCCCAACGATGGCCCGACCATCAGTGACCCGGACTGCCTCACATACTCCTACTCCTCCCAAGTGGACACGGTCCGTGACATGAATTCTGGACTCATCGGAGCCCTTCTCATCTGCAAACCGAGTCAGTGAGCTGCTGCTAAACACCATTGAACACTCCTCATACCTGAAACCAGCAAATTTAAACAGAGCAAATTTGAATAAAGCTCATACATACATGTGTTCCTTTTATAATATTTACTCATAACCAGATAATTTTTTTAACATTCAATGCTTCTCCAGGTGCGTTTACAGAGGACGGCCAGAGGAAATTCCAAGCATTTGTCCTTCTGTTTGCTGTATTTGATGAGACCAAAAGCTGGTATGGAGAAGTGGGGGAGAGGATGAGCAGGGAGAAGTTTAGAAGAAGCGATGGCAGGAAGGAATATCACACCATCAATGGATATGTCAACTCCACTTTATCTGGTGAACAGATGGGTTTTTGCTCAGGGTTGTTCTTAATACGTTCTGCACAGGAATTTGGCTTCATTTTTCTATTTTTGCTGCTAATTCTCCATACTCAGGTTTAACAGTGTGTCAAGGCTATGATCCGGTGTTTTGGCATATGATTGGGTTAGGCACTACGCCCGAGATCCATTCCCTCCGCTTCCAGGATCACACGCTGCAGGTAAGCAAGGACTTCACCACAGGAATTTTTAGCACTCTTCCATTGGGAAGAGTCTAGAAAAGAGCTGCTCAGCATTTGGTCAGACATTTTGAATCCTAAAATAATAGATACTAATTCCCAAATCATGAAATTGTTGTTTTGTGAAGTGTAATAAATTTGACCCTCTGGTGTTCGCTTATATCCAGGTGCTAAACCATCGTAAAGTCACAGTGGAAGTGACTCCAATGACTTTCGTCACTGCAGAAATGAGACCTGCAACTATAGGCCGGTTCCTCATCAGCTGTCAGATCCATGCGCATCGCTATGGTAACAAAGAAAGATATATACATATTAGATACAACTGCTCAACTGGCATTAACCAATATCCATCTCACAGATGGCATGAATGCGCTGTTCACGGTGGAGAAATGCCCCGATCCCGTCCCCAAGGATCTGCGACATGTCAAAACAGATGATGATTACGACGGAGGTGATGAAGAAGACGGGTTTAGTTACAATGCAATTCAGTTTCTACCTAAGGGACCACAATTGCAGGCCAGATCTGGCGGAGGACAGCAGTCCGGCATATGGAGGCATTTTATTGCTGCTGAGGAAGTCACCTGGAACTATGCTCCTCACCTGAATCCCACAGACAGGTGAGGAAAATTTAGAAACAGCCAGGAAAATACGATAAATAAAGGGTGACTAACTAACTGATTCCCTTACTTTTCTTTTTATCAGTGAGTTGCAGTCCAGAAATTTGCCTCCATCTCCACACCACCATGGATACACATATAAAAAGGTTATGTTTGTGGAATACACTGATGAATTCTTTACTGAGAAGAAAAATCCCTCTGAGTCACTGCTGGGTCCCATTTTGAAAGGAAGAGTCAACGATAAAATCTATGTGAGTAACTAAGATGTCTGACCAGCTGCTGGATTTAGGATTTTCTGTTTATCTGCTTCTTCTTGATTATTTTCCAGATTATTTTCAAAAACTTAGCCAGTCGCCCATTCAATATCTACCCCAATGGTCTTACCAAGGTCCTTCCATTCGATGTTAATGGTAAGCATAAACGCATATGGGGTTTATTTAAAGAGGGGAAAAGGTTTCTTCATCCTGTGTTTGTCAATTCACTTCTGATGCCAGCTATGTTGGAACAGGAAGAGGTGTAATTATGCTGCAATCACAGAGTGGCACCTCACCGTGGAGACATATCAAAATTTATTTAATTTTTCTTTGGAATCAATAATGCATTTCTGAATTGAATTATATTGAACATGGCTGTATTTGCAAAGGTATTGATACTCTTGCACCTTTTCAAATAATTCCACACACTTGCATTTGTATAAGGCGGTCCTCAAAGTCAAAACTCTATAGAACCACCTTCCTGGGTATGTCTACCTCCAGCTGCTAGATTTAGCACATCTAGTTGCTGACATTATTACCAATCTTTTAATTGCATAGTAAGATTGCATAGAAGTATAAAGTCTGCCATAGATTCACCCTAAAATGGGGGTCTCAATGTGCTTTAATCTTGACCGGCTCTAATCCATGTAGCCTCAACCTGCAGCTCTAGAGCTACATGTTTCAGCCTTTGGTCCTTGGACAATGGCTCCTAATAGTGACTAAATGCTGATGAAGGTTCTCAGTCATCCAGGACATAGTCATTCCGTAAAAATTCAAAAAATATCCACTGGACTTGGTTTTCAAGATTTGAAGACGTTTCGCCACCTCTCCAGGAAGCTTTCTCAATTCAAATGTCTGGATCCGCAATGAGTTTGAGTCTTATATGGACAAGGCCTTGTATTGCTTGGTTACACAACCAACCCTTAACAATCATAGACAGGTTTCAGGTATTACAGGAGACAATCCCCCCCCCCTTAATGGCAATCCCCCCTTTAACGACCGACCCCTAGAATCATAGACAGTTTCAGATATTACAGGCTAACGATGGAACTAAACGACCCATTCATCGGTTACCATTGCATGTTTCCAAGCAATACAAGGCCTTGTCCATATAAGACTCAAACTCACTGCGGATCCAGACATTTGAATTGAGAAAGCTTCCTGGAGAGGTGGCGAAGCATCTTCAAATCTTGAAAACCAAGTCCAGTGGATATTTTTTGAATTTTTACGGAATAGTGACTAAAATAATAAAGATCCAACGTTATTAACCAACTTTATCAATACTGTTCTCTTATGTGGGGTAGTGTTGGCCTAGTGCTTAGAGCAATGCGCTTGTGCCCTGAGAAGGTTGCAAGTACCAGGTTCAATTCCCACAGCCTGCACTCTGGGTTTCTGAGCAAGACCCTTAACTCAACATTGCTCCCCGGGCGCCACACAATGGCAGCCCACTGCAATTTTTTATGTTGTTTTTAGATCTTTTTTTTTTTTGTTATATTGAAAAGTTTCTTTTTTCAAAATTGTTTTCCACAAACATCGACATCCTATAGGAGAAAATCTGCACATCTTATGTTTTTTCTTCATTTCAAAACCAAAAAATACAAATAAATGGCAACAGATTTCCTATAGTGTATATTTAAATAGTTTAATCACTTTTGTTTTATTAAAAGGTTGCAGGCTGGGCGATATGGACTTTCAATCTGATAACAATAAAAATGAGGATAAAAAAAATGATCATAACTTCTTTAAGGTCTTTCTCAGGTAACTGTATGGTTGTGACTGCATGTCAAAGCAATCATAGGCCCACAAATACAGCTGCTGAAAACTGTACAGATTTAAAACAGTCAACAACAAGTTACATAAAGAACTGCAACATTTATATCACTAATCGTCCCACAGTGAACGTATTTAATCATACTCTTCCAATTTGTCAATGCCCCAATGGAAAACAACAAAAAAAGAAAATAAAATTTCCACTTTTTTAAAACATCATTGATTCCAATTTATCATTTAGACAATAAATCAAAATTCTTATCATGACAAAATGTATCATGATAACAATATAATAAATTCCCTTCCCTACTACACACTGAATTGTAAAAAGCTTGTTAAATTAAACCAATTTTGCTTAAACTGCAAACACAGCTTTCAGATAATAAAAAAAAACTGTAAGAGAATCTATAGCTATACTAGTACAGTATAAACCCCCAGAGATCGCTTTTATCAGTTTTTTACACCAACTCCATCACAATCTGCTCAAATCTCTCTAAACAGCTGCTGTGCATGACCTGCGCTCATTGGGAATTCCTCCCAACAAGACATTTGTCTACATCTGGAAGATTACCTCTGATGACGGACCCTTGGAAGGAGACCCCCAGTGTCTGACTCAGCTGTATCAAAGCACCATCTCCCCAGAGCAGGACCTGGCCTCTGGGTTGGTGGGTACCCTGCTCATCTGCAAGTCCAACGCCATCGGCACCAGAGGAAATCTGGTGAGATAACTCATTAAGCTTCAGGCCTATTGGATCCCTAATGTGCACTCTTGGATATAACCTTGTTTATGCTTGCTCTATACTTGCAGCAAAGTGGAGACAAGAAGCAGAGTCTGATATTTACTGTGTTTGATGAGAACAGAAGTTGGTACTTTAAGGAAAACATGCAGAGGTCAGTTCTAAGCTCCTACAACACCAGCGACCCAGAGTTCTACAAGTCCAACGTCATCTATAGTGAGTACACTACGCTTCCATTTGTATTTTTATTCTATATTTTCATCATAAGGAAACAAATATGTGATGTGGATGACTCTCGTCCTTCAGGTATAAACGGCATCATGTTTAGCAAGCGTCAGTTTGTCATGTGTCAGACGGATGTCTCTCTCTGGCATGTGGCCAACGTGGGAACCAGGAGCGAGTTCCTCTCCGTATATTTTACGGGAAACCTGTTTCAGTACCAAGGCCTCTACCAGTCTGTCCTTACCCTCTTCCCCATGACGGCTGTTACTATTCCCATGGAGACAGAGGTGATCGGTGAGGAAAAACGCTCACATTTACACTCAGCTTTTAGCACCGTAGCTCATTGTTTTAAGGTTCAGAGCTGAAACGTCAAGTAATTATGGACTAATTTAATCATTGTGATAGGTAAGTGGACAGAGACACTAGCTTGGTTAGAAATGTATTGGAAATGCCCTGCAAAAAAGGAGTGTCAAAAATCAAGAAAAAGAAATCTAGGGGAAAGGCTGCTCAAATAAAATTAAATTATCTGACGATGCAGCAAGATAATATTAGTTTGCGAGATTTGATTTAAGATTCTTAGTTTTAAAAGTAAGTATAGGCAACACTTAAAATTAGCAATGATGTCTTAAAACAAGATAAAATATCTAACTTCTGAATAAAGTTTTTTTTATCTTTGTAAGAACCAAATAATTTGCAGTTTGTATTTAAAGTGTTGCTGTACATCTCAAGTCCATTCACATGCTGTCCAGCTCCAACACAAGGCTTCTAATTATAGGACGTGTTAAACAACATGATTTAGATGGCAAGGGATCAGTTTACACAGCAGTTTCTACTACTTCCACTTTTCCACATTTGTTTCACGTATGGCAACAAACCTGAATGTAGTTAAAGGGCCCCTATCACACCTTGCCGGTTTAGCAAGGGTATGTCTAAAAGTCCCAGAATCTTCTAAAAAGCTAGCATACGCTGAGCTTTCTATGTATTTTTTCAATTTGGGGCATATACAGAGCGTATTCGTGAGTCCAGTACTTATGTCCAAAAACAGCCTAACTTATGCATAAAGCACGGCAGCGTAATGCCCATGAAATGATGCACAAGCATTATTTCACGCACATTACGAAGCATCAGTTAAAGCCGCCCTCCTGAGGCGCCCGGTCTGCATAAAAAGATTTCTTTGATCGGGGTATTAACCCAGCTGTTGTTTACTGCCCGCCCCCTAATTAAATGAATGAATAAAAAGAAAAAAAAAAAGAAAGAAAGAAAGAGGGTTTGCAGTGGCAGCAAATTCAACATCGTGTCTGTTAAAAAGTTTGTAGGTCGTCGAGATGAACGCAGGGAGGATCCATCACACTAACCTTCAGGCTCATCCTATGATGGGATGAAGTCTGGAGGAGTACAGATGGTTTTCTCGTGTGAACCCCCTTTTATACCAAAACACTGCAAATAAGCCATTATACAGTAGCTGTAAGTCAGAAAAACACGTTCAGCAGTCGTCTGAAACACATCAAATACGTTGATATGCATTGGAGATAAATTCTTCGATAAGTTACGCATAAGTTATGCACACGTTACTCATAGATTTTGGATAAGTTAGACACCACAACTTATTAGTAACTTAAACTTAACATATGTGAACGATCAGATAACTTACCTGTACCTTATGGTCAACATATGTGCATACGCTGGCATACGTACTTGACGTATGTCGACGTGTGCCAGCGCGCTTCAGCGTGCTCATAGCTTATACAAAACGTATCCATAACTTATCCATAGTATGCCAGCGTTTTTGCCATTAAAAGTAAAAAAACATTTTATATACTCTATACAAAGCAGCCCAAGTTTAGTCGGACTGGATGATGAGCACCTATAATCATCTGGCAAGACTTTCTCTTTTGGATTTAAGTCTGAACTTTGACTGGACCGATCAGTATGCCCTGATCAAAAGCTTCAGGGTGTAAAGATTGTTTGCTATGGAAAACAAAATAGTTATCACAAAATATACGCAGGCCACAGATAGTGATCATTTTTCTTCAATGTAACCCCAATAGATTTCAATACAACAAGCAGTTTGCAATCAAGGATTTTTGTAGAAAATGGAAATAAGTGGTCCCAGACAATGTGAAAAGGTGCATGGCAGTAAACCTTAACTTCCTTTTTGCAGGTGAGTGGGAGATAAGTGCCTTCGACAGCAACCTCAGGAGCCGGGGAATGAGCATCCGTTACACTGTCCGTCCCTGCAACGATGTAACGTATTCTCTGGTCGACAATGACTTGACTTATGAAGATATCTCTGAGTATGTGGACAGGATAGATCAGCCAAGGGGCTTGAGACCTGAAAATGGCACAGTGTTGGTTCGGGAGTGCAGGAACTCTGCCGTCAACAACACCAGTGACCAAAATGTGACTTTGGTCAGAGATAAGGAGGCCCTTTGTAAACTAAGGAGAGTGCCAGTGGCGTCGGTGAAAAGAGAACAAGTTTCTACAGACGAAGGGATCCCAGAAGATATCCTGGCGAAAGTAGAGAGAGACGGGAGTTGGAAAGCTCCTGAAAATCAGAACCAAGCAAAAGACAACAGAGGTGGGAGGCAGAAACGAGAGGCAGGTGGGAACTGGACACAAAACAACGACATCTCCCTAAACGCCAAAGCATCAACGGGAGAAAAGATCCCACCTGGAAACACAATCTCTCCAAAAGAGGACATGAGTGAAAACTACATCTATTCTGATTCTGAGAGTCTTTTAGATGATATGTTGGACGTTGACTACAACTTAACTGATGGCAACACAACAGAGGTCAATCTATCCTTAGACTATGATGACTACAACAACTACAACAGTGAGGTATGGGTTTCTAGTATTTGTTTTATTCAGGAGGATTCCCAAACATCTAAACACCTGCTACAGTGCTGTAAATTCTGTAAACTGTTTATATAGGGGAATGCTTCATCAGAAACATTTGGCACAGAGTTATACGGCCCCCGCTCTGGAGAAACAAGACCCCGTCACTACTACATCGCTGCAGAGGAAATCACCTGGGATTATGGCATCAAAACACCATACCAGCTCATTAAGCCCAGGTGGGAATGAACTTGTTGTTTACAAGCTTTAAGAATCAAATTCCATTCTTAGCATTGTGTAGTTTTCTTTTTCTTTACAGTAATTTAACATTTTAAAATAATGACTCCCATTTTGAATATTGGGTTATCTTCCTTTGGATATTTTATGCCAGCTGGTCATCATTTTGGAAAATGAAAAATACTTGCTCACCTGCCTTTACACCGATTTGAACTTGAGTAACATCCCTTTCTTTGCCCATTGGGTTAAGTTGATGCTGATGAACCGCAACATCTTGCGCTCTTTCAGGAAGATTTCCAAATGTTTGGTTTCAAGCCATTTGCCCAACAGTGCATCTGCTACCAATGTGGGGCAGTTAGTAGTCAGAAGATTTTTGGCATCCTATCACTTTAACATGCCAGACTTTAATGAGCTTCTGAGAACATTACATTTTCACAAATGTCTATAGAACCAGTCTGACCTTTGTTGATTGCAAAAATATAGGAGACCTGAATTCATTAGTTGGGATCAGGGAGCTCCGACATAAACAATATAGCAAATGTTTATGATTAATTGTTTTCTCCTTCTAATTTCTCTCACTAATTGTTGGATTTTTCTTTGTGACTAAAATTTTTTAGCAGTCCATCCATCTGAATGGGGACAGAAACAAATATTAATTTGTATTTTGTGATTAACCCCTACACCAGATTTATTTAAAGCTACAACCAAAATTCCCTGACTATTATCGCCTAATCTGTAAAATAATCCCATTGTAAATGCAGCTGCTCTCCAAAGAGTTCAGAGGTTCGTTAGCGATAGATTTGTGGATGTCAACATCCAGGGTTAGTAGAATTTGTTTAGAGGTATAATGGAGGGTTTTCTTTTTGCACATGGATCATCAAAATAAGTGGATCTCCTAATTGTCACTCATTTTTGTGATATGTTTATGTGAGGCCGTCCCACATGCTCGTCCCCAGTAGTGAGTTTGACAAAGTGGAAAAGTTGCAAGTTGCACACGCGTTTAATGGGCGTTCCCTCTCTGAAGCGAGTACAGGGTTGTGCATGTGCATTTTTTTTTAGGTGTATTATTAGTGTTCTTCTTGCAGAGCTAAAAGAGGCAGTGGAGGATGTGCTGCCCTCATTGAGGGAGCAGGGTGTCACTGGGTGTTTTTAAAATATATCCACAAAAATCCTCCGCTATACCTTTAAATAATGGCCTTTTTTCAAAAACAAAGGAAAGTATAGTTTACAGATTCCCATAAGCCATGTACAGTATGGGCCTCAGCTGACCTGGAAGAAGGTGCTCTAATCAGAAGAGACTGTACCTGAACCCAGGCTCGGACTGAGAACGTTTTTTGACCCTGGCATTTTTCCGTCTACACCAGCCCACTACACGAGCCTCCCTGAAGCTACTGTTACCTCAGGAAAGCAAGTGTAGGTTTTCACAACCTGTTGGAAGTTGGATGATTACAGCAAGAGTCCAAACCGTCACAGAAGTTGACTGCCAGCAGACAAAACAATGACCTATTCTAAGTGACACTTTGGAACTTCCACAACCTCCCTTAACAATAATTAATAATTATGGTTGAAAAAGACATATAACAAATTAGTTTTTATGTACAGATACATATGTTTAGTTTTCCTGTCATTAGGATTTTGTGCCAAATATTTCACATCCATAAGCACCCATTTAAAAAATGGATATTGCTCAAAATGAAATTTTTAGATAAAAAAAAATCAGAAAAGGTTGTGTAACATTTTAAGCTCTATATCGGTCTTTTTTTACCTGGACTAAGTGCAACAATAGCTCTTTAGGTTGTTAAAGTTGTAGACCGCTGGTTTAGAGCAAAGCACATTCATGTGCTAAAATTGCGGAGTGAAAGCACAGAAAAGTATCCGGTTTAGGGCTGGGTACCGAACTTCGGTTCTTTTATGGTACCGACTGAAATGCTTCGGTTCTACAGAGTATCGAAACATGCCTCGTCTTTCGGTAGTCAAGTTTCGGTGATTGGCTGTAACACTTAACGTGATTGGGTCATCCAGGAAAAATACACAGGTGGTCACGCCTACAGCCAGGGTTCATGTGTATCTGTTGTGAACTGGTTGCGAGCGTCGTGGAACCCCTTTAAAATGCCCCCCAGGTCAAAAGTGCGGCTTCACTTTATTAAGACTGATGCCAATAGTGCGCATGTAAGAGGAAAAATGTAAATGGGAAAATCAGAGCTTAAAATAAAATTCAAGATTTGTACTTTTTTATGTTGTGTAATTTTCTTTTTCTTCGTATTGATATTATAAAACTGGTATCGAAAAAAGTATCGTTCAGGAACCGGTATCGAAGTGAAGGTATTGGTATTGGTACCGGAACCGAAAATTTTTGAACAATACCCAGCCCTAATCCGGTTAGGAACCCATTGCATTACTTAGAAAAATGCTGCTCACATTGCTAATGCTAAACACAATCTGACCAAGCTTTGGATATTTTGCAAAGATTATTGATTTAAACAGAAGCTCTATACGAAAATGAAAAAATTATCCTTCTATCTTATTGGAACAGCAACACTGACTGCTTTATTTTCCTCTCATCAGGGAGATGCGAAGGGGGATGAGAAAATTTCTTCCAGAATATAAGAAGGTGGTTTATCGTGCTTACACGGATAAAACCTTCAAGCAGCCAGTCTATCGAGGAGAGCTTCAAGAACACTTGGGAATCATGGGACCTGTTATCAGAACTGAAGTCTATGATCTCCTCACAGTGAGTTTCCTCCTATATAAGGGAAGAAGCACAGAAAATGTATTTTGTTCTTCTCTTTTGTTTATTTACCATATTAACTTTGCATTTAGTCCAGACCACATGAACCTAAGATAGAAATAATACTTCTGTTCTGACAGGAGGATAACTACCTCTGATTGTGAAGAACCTAAGGTCTCCTTCTATGTCTGCTCCTCACTCAGATTACCTTTAAAAACAATGCAAACAGGCCCTACTCTCTTCATCTTCATGGGGTATATGACCGAAACCAACAGGCTGGCCTCATACAAAACAACGGGCCTCCTGCTGTTCCTGGAGAACCTGTTCCTCCTGGAAAGACTCAGGTTTATTACTGGAAAATAAACAAGAAACAAGGACCCTCAGATCCGGAGTTTGACTGCAAGACTGGAGCCTACTACTCCACTGTGGACAAGGTCTGCTGTTGTCTTGAAAATTTAAAAGCTGCTTCCTGAGGCAAACATCCTTACTTCATTTCTTTGTTTTCTTTAGGAAAGGGACATTCATTCTGGTCTGATCGGTCCACTTGTGATCTGTAAGCCTGCAACCCTGCAGAATAACATCAACACCCAGCCAGGTATCCAGGACTTCTCCCTGCTCTTCCACACCTTTGATGAAACTAAAAGCTGGTACCATGAAGAGAATCTGCTGAGGTACTGCGCTCCCCCCTGTCAGGCCAACACAGAGGATCCATGGTACCACACTAGCAATAAGTTTGCAGGTGACTGATTGTGTTTCTTATGATGTCTGCTTTTACTGTTTGCTGAGGTGTCCACTAACAGAGGAGATGCATGCTTCCCCTCAGCAATAAATGGTTATGTGGCCGAGACTCTACCTGGTTTGATTGTGGCCCAGCATCAGCCAGTGAGATGGCACCTTCTAAACGTCGGAGGTGACAGAGAGTACCATGCAGTCCACTTCCACGGTCTGCCTTTCACTGTCCACGCTACACAAGAACACCGAATGGGGGTCTTCAGCCTTTTTCCTGGTAAAAAAACACTATTCTTGGATGGATGGATGGATGGATGAAAATTCTATGCTTCCAACACAAATACATTTGCTTTGCATATATTTATCTATTTTAATGTTAATAAAATAAATATATAGCCAAAAACATTGCAATATTAAGTTCAACATATAATATAATTTCTTTCTTATACCTTCTGGTGAATATTTCCTTTTAATATAGACTATTTCTTTTATTACATTCTGTCTCACTGCTGTGGTTTAATTCCTGAAGGTGTTTTTGGGACGGTGGAGATGAGACCCCCCACTGTGGGGACATGGCTGGTGGAGTGCACTATCGGAGACTACCAGCTGGCTGGGATGAGAGCCAAACTCTTGGTCTATGATCCACGTAGGTCTACACCCGTCACCCTGACTCCGATGGTCAGACCCAGAAGATTGATGCTTTTGAAATGGTCTATGACTGGTTCTTGGTGGAAATGGATTCAGTAACAACTGGGGAAATGTTTGTTAATACGAAAAAGACTTAACAATACTCAAATACAACCAAAAGGATTCTTAAGCTGATGTCATTTTTGTTTCAGAATTTCATTTTTTTTGACATTATCTGAGGTTTAATTTGTTACAAAAAGGTCAAACCCTTGAAACACATTTCTAAAATTGAATTTTAAGCACTGCACAATGTCATTTGATTTAGATGTATCTATATTTTAAGAACACTGACATCATTTACTGAACATTTATGTTGATGCTCTGATACACAGGATGTGTCTTACCTCAGGGAATGAAATCAGGGCGGATCGAAGACTCCCAGATTACTGCATCAGATCACAGCGGTAAAGCACACTGGCTTTGTTTTCATTTGTGTCCAGTGGGGCAAGTGATTTTTATGAGACTGTACCCTAAGAATAATTACCTTGATACTCTGTAAATCTAAGGAAATACCATAGCTTTATGAAACACAAACATCGGGAAATGACAGGCGGAGAGATGGATTAAGGTTGTGTTTATATTTCTGTGTCCAGGTAACTGGGAGCCAAAGCTGGCCAGGCTCGATATGACTGGTTACTACAACGCCTGGATGGGAAAAGGCACCAGATCATGGCTTCAGGTGAGACTATATCTGAAGCACTAAGCCATTTTAGTCTCAAACGATCTCATTCTATCAGAGCATTATTGTTGGTTATTGATGGAAAACGTTGCATCTAAAGTCATGTATGTTTTCAGGTTGATCTGCTGAGGCCCACCCTGCTGCATGGTATACAGACTCAGGGGGTGAGCTCAAAGCTCAGGGACCACTACACGGCCATCTTTAGTGTCTCCTACAGCATCGACCGAGAGACCTGGACAACTTACAGAGGAAACAGCTCAAATTCCAAAAAGGTGTGTCCACAGATGGAGCAGCAGTGGCATAGCAGCGCTGTGCTAATCCTCCCGATCCCTTTAGTCTGAGCTGTCCTGTGTATCACTGTGTTGCAGATATTTCGTGGCAACCTGGACAGCACTAAGGTGAAGGACAACAGCTTCTCTCCACCGTTTGTGGCTCGCTACGTCAGGATTCATCCACACGGCTATAAGCAGAAACCGGCTCTAAGGCTGGAGCTGCTTGGATGTGATCTTAACAGTGAGTTTGAAGTAATCCAAGTTTTTTTGGTGGGGGGTTTCTGATGAAAATGACTCAGAGTGTATGTTTTGTATGCTTGTGTGTGACTAGGTTGCTCTTTGCCTCTGGGTCTTGAGAAGGGGTTGATTCCAGACAGCAGCTTAAATGCCTCTTCGTTCTATTGGTCTTTCACGAGAAGCTGGAGACCCAGCCTGGCTCGCCTCCACCAGAGCGGCGGAGCCAACGCCTGGAGACCAAAGGTGTGCTCACATTGTGTCATACATTGTTTCCTCCCAGATTATCGCTTTGATTTAGCCTGGAGTTTGATTAGATCATTTTAAAACATAGATATGCTTTGATCTAAACCAACTATTCTTCACCAGAGTCACTTTCCTGCACCTTTTAGATGCAATTCTGAGACATGGATTCATCTAAACAGGCAGTGGCTATCATGCTTTGGAGTTTTTTAGAGAAATACAACATTTGTTCCCATATATACCAAAAAGAGATGAAAATTCATATAAAAAAAAAATAGCATTTACGGAAGAATATCGCAGTTTGATGAGCTATAGATAAACTTAGAGGGAACTTTTTATCACAACAAAATAACATTTTACAAGACAGGTTTATTTCAAGAAAAGGTAAAGAAATATAGGCCAATTAAACCAACCCTTTTTGACTTGTCTTCTCCTTTGGGCATTTTTTCGTACAATGAGTACTCCTCTCAGTCAAAAGTACTGATGATTGTCCAAAAGTGGAACATACAATTACTGAGATAAGACTGTTCTACTTAATCTTTTAATTTGAGCATTTCATTTTTATAATTTTACTCTTTCCATCTAAAAAAAAAAAACTACATGAATATGTTGCCTGGAATAAATACAAAATAAAATCATATTATGAACCTGTATTTATAAAACTGGAGCTCCTCTGAGTAACTCCCTTATAATCACATTTAAACGATTGGGAGCAATTTACAGAACAACAATTCTAGTCAGCCTGACTTAATTAGTTTTACATTGTATGCATAAATGCTCACCTGAGCTGCTTTGTTGAGCTCCGATAGCTCAGTTTTCTACATCCAGTCTGTTCCTCTGGTTGGTTTGCTGTATGACAAACCTGAAGGTTCAAACATAAGAAAAGCATACATTTTGGTTGATAAAAGCTTGTTTCATTTTTCAATTGGATGCTCACAAAGCAAAACAGATCCCAGCCATATTTTACTTTACTACCTAAGAAATACAATATTTAGACCTAGACAAACGTTGTCTAGGTCTAAATATTGTAAGCTGCACTGAATTCCATTCAGTGCAGCTTTCAATACATTTCCATTTCTTTAACTGTAGCAGTGATAAAATGTAAACATGGTGATCATATGTAAACGTAAGACGGAGATATAATTTACAGTTTTTCCAACATTCAGTGCTTTCCCCCCCCTTTTTATTCAAAATTTAGCTTTTTATTTGTTTTTCATATTTTCTTATTTACGAGTATGAAGATATTATTAAAAGTCACTAAATACATCTGTCCCTAAATAACCTTTTCTAATTTGCCCATTGGCAGTGCGTTTTGGTCTCAGTAGCAAGAGAAAAGTGACACTCAAAGTACGGACTATTAACCTTTCTCCCTTTGCACTCTCATTATCACGATTGGCTCAGGTTTCTCCTTCCTCCCCTCTTCAGCTTATCATTTTAACACTTTCCAGAGCCGAACGGCAGCCGTGTGACCTATCCTCGTGGCAGATTGTTGAGCTGCTGTACATGTTTTCCTGTGGCACCCGAGAACAACAGAGGTCAAGCTGCCTGTGCCAGCTTTGGGCTGTTCTCAGATAACTGCCAGTGCCTGGACAAATCACACAATGTTGCATAAAACCAAAAGAATTTCAAGAATTCAGGTTTAGGGAACTGAATTTGTAACAGTTGCCCACAAGCTGTTTCCACATCCAGTGCTGTGAAATGAATGGAACATTGGTGAAAACATGTTATTTTTTTCTTAGTTTCGGTTTGTTATTCTCATCTTCTAAGGTTAAGGTAACATTGATATGTTGGTTTCCTTTCTTGACTCATATCTGGATTTTATAATCCTTATAATTAATCAAATACAGATATTTTTTAAGTGATTATTTACTATATTAAAATATATGTCAATCCTGACCAATTTGGAACTAAATAAAAAATTTAGAGAGTGCTTTTCCAACATTAAACATAATAATTAATTATTGAACTTTATTGATCTCACATTGGAGAAATGTACCTCTGCGTTTAACCCATCCTCTTGGGGAGCAGTGGGCTGCCATTGTGTGGCGCCCGGGGAGCAGTACAGGGTTAAGGTTACTGCTCAGAGACCCAGAGTGGCAGTCTGTGGGAGCGGGGCTCAAACTCAGAACCTCAGGATTACAATCTCTATGCCCTAATCACTAGGCCACCACTCCCCGCAATGATAATGCTACTGCATCACAATCAGATTAGAGGCCAGACTTTGACTAGGCCATTTCAGTGTGGAAGTCTGACCTATACAAAGACAAATGAGACCTCCAGAGGCTTTAGATGTTAAGTGATTACGATAAGCTGGTCACTCAGGGAAAACTTAATGTGGAGAAAAAGCAGATAAAATCTGTAAAGGTATAAATCCCTTTTACAGTGAAAAAGTGAGGTATTTCTTTCTAAAGTCTAAAGATGTTTCTGATATCTTGCTTTTCTCAGAATAACAACCCCCATGAGTGGCTGCAGGTGGATTTGGGGAAGATCAAACGGGTCACAGGTGTCATCACTCAAGGCGCACGTTCGATGCTGACCCAGATGATGGTGACGGAGTTTTCAGTCACATTCAGTCAGGATGGACATTCCTGGAGCAGCGTGCTGGAGAAGAGCTCTCAGAGAGAAAGGGTACGCAGAAAAACTCATAAATGGTTTTTATTTGTCTTCACATTGCAGTCAAAACCCTTTTGCAGAACTTCAGCAGAACTTCAGGAGGCAGCACAGCTTTTCCATTTATTCAGTGATTCAGAGCTCAGATGTTGTTCAAAGTTTCCTTCTGGTAGATGAGTCAACCATCAAAGCATTTTATATGCATACCAAGTGGACGAAATTAGGAAAACATTCATCATCTGTAAATAGCTTTCAGATAGAGAAATCTTGAATACTTCCGGACGCTGTGGTCTTTAAAATGTATTTAATAAATGATGCCTTGCAAAAGTATTAAGAGATCTCGAACCTTCTCACAATTTACAATTTTACAATCATAAATGTATATTTTATTGGAATCTATTATGATAGACAAATATGTTGATGAATGAAAAGTGGAAGAATAGTTAAACATAGTTTTAATGTTTTTAAATAGAAATTAAAAAGTGGAGTTAACATATAATTCGTCGCCCTTTGCCCTAAAACTCCTACTAACATCAATCACTGATCAGTAAGTTGGTTGGTCAAAGAGACAGCTATGGAGAAGTGATACTCTGTTGGGAGTAATACCTTTAGTAAAATCTTATTAGAAACTGTAAGAAAGTGACTTAGGGTTTGCTCACTGTCCACCTGGAAGACAACCCTAAACAACATAATCCATTGCTTTAGGTCCAGTCCTGCAGAGCTATCATCCTGTAACCTTTAGAAGAATCCCCCCCCAGCACACCTGGATCCTATAAGTGGCTCTTCACCAAAACTCTGCTGCGCTGAATTACATGCTGTGAAATCAGCTGTTAGATTCAGTTATTTTCTGGGAAGAGATGCACCTAGAAGTTGCAGGATGATAAGACCTAGAAGTCTGCAGTTTGGGACCCCATGTCTCAGAAGGCCATAACTGGATCTAACTGAGAATCAGTGGAAGGACCTCACCATTCCTCTAGAAAGAATTAGCAAACAGTGACTAAACCCACAAACCATAAAAGCCAGGTGGTACAAAGTATTGACTCAAAAGGACTGAATACAAAAGAATGGGAAACAATGTGAGAACCTTACTGATATAAATGCATTTCTAAGGAACTGTATGTGCTGACATGATAAATGCCATCTTTCTGTGCTGCTTCCTGGCTTCTTGCTATTCCCCTTCCGCTGCAGATCTTCACAGGCAACGACGATCCAGACGAGGAAGCTTTAACGGTTTTCGAGCCTCCTTTGTTCGCCCACTACCTTCGTATCCACCCACGGGGCTGGGTTAATGACATCGCCCTCCGCCTGGAGGTGTTGGGCTGCGACACACAGCAGGGGGTCGGACGGCAGAGGACCAACACGCCGTAGCCGGGCAGATTTAACCCCACCTGTTTTATTTCTTTGGAGAATGAGCTATGTAGTGCACTTAAGTTATGGCTGTAGCTGTTTTTTTTTTCCTGTAGCCAAAACATTGTTTACATTTTCACTTGTTTTATTGTTGCTGCTGTGATGTATGATGAAGGGCATAGTTATATTAAGACTATATAGAAGTAAATCTTTTAGGAAAGCTTAAACATTTCTATGCTGGTAACCTTTTGAATGTAAGCAGGTGTAAATATTTCAGACTTCATTGCTGTAGACTGTTTAAGTAGTTGTGTATCATTTAAAAAAAGCTGTATTTTTCTGTTTTATTTGAGGTATTAAACTATGAACTTCACAGAGTTTTCTATTTTTTCCTTTTGTTTTTCCTCACGAGTAAAATTTCACCCTTTCATTAGGTGTCTTAAGGCCAGAAACCCTCTTTTTCAGTCCTAAAGTGCATTCCTGGCAGAAATCCTGCAATGGTTAAGCTCTACCATTGTTCTGCTACAGGTTAAACGATGCAGTTCTGTTGCTCACAGGAAGTAAAAGTATTTTTACTGACAAAATGATTTGGTGAGAAGAGTAGAAGGGAAGCGTTTGGATCAACATGAAGTGTTTGAGTGTTTGGACCATAAGTCCTGACCAAAATTTATCACCTCCTTATCAGTCAGGAAGTTTCCAGTCAGGCGAAGGGGGGTGTTTAGTTTGGAGGTTGAGAGCAGAAAGGAGCGTTTATCTGACTGGACACACTACCTGCTCTCAAAAACAAAAGCAGCATCTGTATTCATCGGCAGACACATCATGGTTGGGACACAAGAATCAGATGAATCAGAGGAAAACGAAGGCAGTGGCGCTGAGATGTGATTAGATATCTGCTTCTGTGCTGGCGTTCAGTGTGCGAAAGCAGGAGCAACAACAAGAGCAGGACAGTTACACATTTAAACACTAAAATATATTGATAACCTTTGACCCTTCCCTCATTTAACACGTCTGAAAAAAGTGTTGGATGTATTTGTACAAATGAGCTCAGACTAAATAAGTGGTGCCAGTGCAATGTTACTAAAATTAAAAGGCTATTTTAGTGTATATATTTTTGTGTATATATATTTTTAGTGTATATATATTTTTCAGTTTTATCTTTAAATTTAAATGACAATTTTAGATTCACCACACTGATTCATTACAGTTTCAGGTCAGAGTATAATTTGGACATTTTTCTTTTAGGAACGGTACTAGAGAAGCAAAAACAATTGGCTTTAAGATATTAAAATTCAAAATACAATAAAAAGTGTTTCTCTTTTTCAGTTTCAAAAATAGTTGATTGAATTTTTTTATTTTCTATTTTTCGAAAAAACAAAAAATAAAATCAATATAAAAGAGAAACCAAAAAGACTAACTTTTTAATTTAGAGATTAGATTTGGTCATTTTACCAGGGCTGTATATTTAAAAGCATGGACATGTTTATTTTACCCCATGATAAAATGTTGAACCTTTATTCATTTTAGATATTGGGAAAAACAAGGCCTGTCATCCACACAGGATATTACATTTTATAGGGGAAACAAAACAATGTTCTGCAAGAGACGTGGAGAATAAGCAATGAAAAAAGATTACGTTTGACCAGACTCCCTGATTAAAAATATCAACTAGTTCATTCACACCGTTTGCCATTTCTCTAGGACTTCCAATTTTGTAAGTTTAAAAATGAAAAAGCTGTTAACTACAGTTTCCTTCTGAATATGTTTTAATGGCTAATGTTATGATTCATGCTTCTACCACACTAAGTGTTTATTCTCTATTCCTCTCACACCCTTAAAACGAAATTCTTGTGTAATATGTATCCTGTTTTTAAGAAAACATTACAGCTGTAGAAACTGCTTGATTGACAGAAACTGTTAAGCTAAGTTTATTTATTTTAATTCTTATGTTTTTTTTGTTATTTATTTGGGTGGTTCATCAGGATGTCATCTAGTGGAAAAGAAATAGATGTATGACAAGTCATGGCTGAGTACTAAAATCTGGTATCTGGTCTAAGAGATATAGACTAGCTATCATTTGTTGCACCAATAATAATGTATGCTAAATGGACAGAACATTGGCCCTCTGTCATATTTGAAACTTTTTTTTTCAAACAAAAGTTGGATAACTGCTTCTTTTTTGTAATTGTTTAAAAAAAAAAAAAAAAAAAAAAAAAAGACCATGAAACACTGACATCTTAAATTGCTGTGAGGTCTACTTTTAATACTGATGTCTTATTTAAATTCTAATGAAAACCCTGAAATAAAAAAAAAACTGTCATGATTTTTGTCCTGCCCTGTTTGTGTTCACTCTACCTCTCCTGATCAGCACTGATTGTTCCCACCTGGGCAGCTCTCTACTTAAGCTCCTGCTCTTCCCCTGCTCTGTGTGAGATCGTCTGCCTTTCACAGCTTTCAAGCCCTGCTTCATGAGCCAAGTATTTCCCTACCTGTCTTTGACCACTGCCAAAGTCCTGACCTTACCATTGAGTGAGTTCTAACCTTTCTGCTTTATGCTGCACCCTGCAAAACTCTGAAAAGGATTTCAAACTGGATTGTGGATGTCTGTACCTCTGCTCTCTTTAACCCCCACTCCCCAAGCCCTCAAGGTTCCCTACCTCTAATTGGACCCCGCCCTGCTGGAGCTGAACCTGGTCATTCTTGGTTTTTGTTTTATATATTTGAATCTTCTCCAACAGACTCTCATTTCCTTTTTTGTGTTCCAGGACCACTAGACACTCCCAGAACTGACAGAACCATTGTTTGTTATTTTCTAAAATCTTTTTACTCAATCCTGTCTTTGGCTGTGCTTTAGGTTCTGGACTCTTCTGAAACCCTGACAAAAAAACACTGTTTTTAGCATATGTGAAGTGATACTTCAAAGGTTTGGGGCAGATTATCAAGACATGGAGTTTGTCAAATACTGTGTAGTATAAAAACAAACTTTTTATAGTGGGATGGCATGTCTGCTTATATGTGGATGGGCAGTAGCTGGATGGGGTTTCCCTTAATTTTTTTCCTTAATATCAACACTTAAAATCAATAAAAATGTTCCTTAATCTATTCCCACTTGTCCTTGCAAGTTGTGGATTGATAGCGAAGAAGAGAACTGGGAAGGACAGATTACATCCAGGATAGTTCAGCAGTCCATCACATACAGTAGTCAAACCGGACAAGCAACCATGTACACATATATTCTTCTTGGCTCTACCTTTATCATGAGGTAGATACTTAGATTCTTTCTATATATAGGTTGCCATAAATTTAGGCTGCTGGAGGACGTAGGGACCACCTTTTATCATTCTGCTCATTCTGTCTCTGTTCTCCCATTCTGGAATGTTTGTTAGTACAACCCAAAACTCTATGTTCTCTCTGCTTTTTCTCATCATAGTAGCTTCATCTGTGCTGTCCCTATTTACTGCGATTCCACCCTGGATTGAAAAATCAGCTGGGCTGCTGCCATCAACACCATTGTTATATATGTTCGAGTTTCGCCTGTTTCCAGTGTAGTCCTGTTTCTTTTATTGTGACTAGAAGAAATTGGCTTAGAGCTCATCTGCCTGGCTGTGTCTTAACTGGACGGGCCCGCCTATGGAGCTGGTTAACGATTTAATATTGTATCTCTGCTGGCTTTTGTATGTCTGCCTCTATCAACAGAAGGCTGCTCATACTGAGCCTGGTCCTGCTGAAGGTTTCTTTCTGTTAAAAGTGAATTCTTCCTTTCTACTCAGAAATGCATCATCGGTGTGAGGGATTGCTGAAGAGTCAATGACAGACTGCATGCTAATATTGTCATTCCAAGCTCATCAAGGAGGGCAATTACTAGATGCAATAGGCTGGTTTTCCTTGACAGAAATGTTTAATCAATCTGACTGTGTATTTTCTTTGCGGTGTGCAATGAGATGAAAAACTGAACTGAGAATGAAATTTATAAAAAAAAAAAATAATATAAGGGCACTTTCCAATTGAAATTAGCGGATTAACGTGGGGTTTTTAAACACAGGTCATCCCGCTAACAATCAGCATGTGGATCCTTTCCCATTGACATAAAAACTCTGCCTGATCCCCCGCTGGCAAGCTGCATTAAATGAAACTATGGAGAGCAGCATGCAAGGAAGCCAGTGCGTAGTAGGTGTGCTTTATATTTTTGTCACTACAAGTCTCTCTCACCAGTGTTGCGCCATGTTTATCTAAAGTAAATAGGGATGTTTCGGCTTGTTAGATGAGACACGGCTAGCGCAATGTTTTAATGTCCAAATGTTGCATTCAATGGTATCATTAAAATTAACAGAATGACCCGGGTCGAATGCTCTCACTGTACGCCGATTGGAGCGGAGCAATTTGAAATCAATTTGCATGATACAATTGAGCGCAACATATGGACATGAAGACACGGGCCAGGAGCAAAAAAAACTCTGCTTATGTTTGATAAACATGGTGAAGCTACGATGAGAGACATTCACAGGGACAAAGGAACAAAGCAATAAAGAACATGTTCTACACTGTGGCTCCCTTCCATGTTGCCCGACATTGTTTACTTTTCTGGATTTCTGATGCACTTGTGAAAGTCATCAACATTAATCCAACATGATGGCGTCACACTTTATGAGGGAAGAACGCATGCATGGATGATAAAAGAAGAATGTGTAAGTGTGAGAGGAGAATGTATATATGTGGATGAATAAATGTATATGAGAGGAAAATGTATGTCAGAGACAAAATATATGTATATTGGGGTGGCATTGTGGGAGGTAGAATAGGTTAGATACTTTGGGAATTCTTTGTCCTCTGAATCTGCTGGCAGTTAATTTGCCATCACTGAGAAAGACTTTGTTTTTGCCATTAAACGTACAACATTCGCTCTATCATAATCAGTCATTTTTGTTGGCCATTGCAGGATCATTGAAATTATTGGTGGGATCCATCTCTGAGCCACTATGCTCAGACTCTCTGATTGGGCAGCAAGCCCCGCAACCTGCACTGTCTCTCAGTAGGGATGGCTCTCTCTGTCTCCTCCTCAAACACACAATCCCTCCGTTCCCGAAGCTGATACGCCTCAGCTGGCCCGCTCAACTCTATCTTTCATCCTGGACCTCTGCCATCTCTCGGGTTTTTGGCGCTAAGATCAAGTGCTTCTATAGAAGAAAAGGTGTTTTTCCCCTTACTGTAGCTAGCGGATGCTGTACTTTAAAATCACATTGATAAATGCACTGCTTCTTACCTGCCTTTGGATGGGCATCATTCTTCTGCCATTCCGTTCCTTGACCTGTTCCAGATTCATCCTGAGTTTATTTTTTATATTTACTACTAAAGTCCTTCAAGCCTTTGGTTTCATCT